AAGAGATGAAAGTCACAGTAAACCCGGAAGGCTTTATCTCGAATAGATTAAAGGCTCTTCTTGCTCAACGAGCCCAGAAGGTACCGATTCCGGAAGTTGCTGGAGAGCCAGAGGTTACCTGCCAGGTGACCATACAGTCAAAGCCCGGGGAGCCAAAAAAGGTCGTGTTAGACAAAGCCTCTCCCCAGATGACCCAAGACATCAAGCCTCTGTACGTCAAAGCTCACTTGAACGGGAAGCCCGTATCACGGATATTGGTAGATAACGGATCCGCAGTCAATGTGTTGCCGCTTAAAATGATATGGAGTTTTTGAAAATCTTTAGGAGGACCTGATGTCAACGGAGGTTTCAGTTGTGGCCTTTACTGGGGGAACCCTTCCTTGCTTTCTTATATTGTATTCGCTTCAATCGCTCCTGAATCGGCGGATCAAAGATCGGAATACCTGACTTTCACTGCTAGAGGTGGATTGGATGAGAGGCCTCTATTTGCTTGCTTCTCCTGTTCGCTCTAGTTCACCTGGTTTACAACGGTCTGTTTGCTAGGTTTTAGACAAGGGCTAAGGGCGAGTCATCCCTCTTAGCAGCTCTTTCCTAATCAATCAGCTTTTGTGCTCTCCCAAAACAGCGGAAAGACTTTGAATAATTCCACCAACAACTTTTCTCATGAAAGGGAAGACTTTTTAATAAGACTTTCTTTCTCTTGCACCACGCCGGAACGTATGGACACTGCCTAAAGTGAAGTAAGAAGGAATCGGGGTGGCTAGCTTTCCTGCTTCTGTGCTTGTTATTAAGAAGATAGAAAAGATATAGCTATCTCCCGTAGGCTACTCTTTAGAGCGTTTCACTCGTTTAAGGAAGACTCATACAGCCTAAGACAACTGGGTTTACGAACAGGGGTTATTCCCATATATATGGATGGATGTTACTTTTGTGCTTAATTTAGTTTTGCGTATCAGTTAAGTTTCAGGTCTGTGCCTGAGGCCTGGACCAGAAAGCTTTAATGGCGGGGGCAGAAACGGAAGCAGGTACGAATAGAAGAAGGCCCAGAATAGCCAAGCCAAAAGGGTCCTATTAAGTGGTCCAATCATTATGGGTATAATGGTAGATGCTCGGGACCAAGCCCTCAATTTTATACTTTGGAAAACTTCTAATAGTAAACTTAAACTATCAATTATATTAGGTAGAGGAGCAATTTCATCGAAATCACAGGCATAACTCATTCCTTCATGGAAAACAAGTTTATTTCATATACCTCTGCTTGAAGAGAAGTAGAGCGGCTCAGGAACATCTTGGTAGAAGTACCGATATGGAGCAATTGTTGCCGGTCTAGACAATTTTTACGGCTGCCATGCTGAGATAGTACATCTAGGAAACTAATAGGTAATCCATACCAGTGTGTCTGATGTATGTGAGAAGGATCTTGACAAAATTTCCAGTAAGTATGTGGAGTCCAGATGAGATCTGGCTGATCCCGTGTCAAAAGGCCTTGGCAAGGAAAAAACCAGAGCATAGTTAGTTGTCTTGTACTTTACGGTAACCCAACCTGTTCTCCTAGGAAAAATGAGAAATATAAGCACATGAATGAATTTTAATTCTTCCATACCTATGGTCTATGTGCTTATTCCTGCATTTAAGTTCTATTAATGAATCCCGGAGGAGGAGAAAGAAACTTGATAGATTCACCGATCTGAGTGTGGTATTTCAATTCCTATAGGATTTGGACTTTAATCCTTAGAGCACTCAGGGGATCCTAGGCACATGGTCGTAAGGTGCCGAGCTTATCTGTAAATACTTTAGTGGGTGTGTGTGTCATTTCTACTTTGTCAACATGCTTCTTAGAAAAAGACCTTGTTCACCTAGTCTTAGGAAGCTCCATTCTTTAGAGGTAAATATGATGATGTTGAAATAGCAGATTATATAAGCATTACTTCAGCCTGGCAAAACTGGCTTGTTTGTGTAATAGCTTTTCCTGCCCTACGACTAGTAGGTAACTCACTACCTTTATGGAGTAAGAATCATTCCTGCTTCCAGACTTAACCTTCGCCTGCACAGAAATTATAGGAACTTAACTGAGACCTGGTTAAGGGAAGAAGGTTTATCATCCTGTTGTTGCCATATCTGTTGCCGCTGTTCTCTTTGCAATTTAATTTTATGTGGGAATAACTGAAATAACCGTTGTTCAAATAGCCGTAAGCGGTGGTGGTGAAGTCAGTTAATCAGACTCGGTTGTGCTAGAATCTGCTGTGGGACTTGAGCTTGTGGCATATCGATAATATGAGTATGCATCGAGAAATATAACTTTCGATTTCATGTCCAGATGAAATGCAATTTCCAACTAATGGCACTACTTCCTCAATAGGAAATTAACTTCTAAGCTGGCTAAGGTAAGATAATCCTGTTCTTGCAATAACAGGTCTTTCTGGTGAGTGAATAAGAGCTCTTCGTAACCGCAGCTAAAGGCTTAGCCTAGCCCTAAAGCAAGCAAATGACATATAGAAATAGTAGGCATCGCATGCCCTTGCCTTTTTGCTTTTCTTACCTCCTTTTCTTCCTTTAAAGCAACTGACATCCATGTAGAAGAAGGTTCACAGGTGGACAAAGAGGGTTGTCCCTTGGTTTGCGGCGAATATATTGTCGATCTTTAGCCAATAGCAGTAGGAGTAGCTGGCACTGGCTTTCGGGATATCAATAATACATATGCAATGTGCCGCATCTACTTAACCCTCTGGCGCGAAGGCCTTCCCCCTCTCCTCAGATGTCCACAAAAGGAATTGACAGTGAATCCTATGACTTTCCTTCTAAGACATGGTAATTGCTTTCAAGGGCTAGATGCTGCAAGTGAATCAAAAGTAGAGAAAGGGTCAGCTCCTTCACTTCATTCTCTCGCTCTCTCTATCTCTTTCTATTTTTCGTATAGAAAGATGACACACTTGAACTTGACTGATTTTCTTAGTAAGAAATAATAATCAGAAATCATCCATCTCATAAGCTTTTCAAAGCACATTCTAAACAAACGAATGCTATATGCTTAACACAAAGAAATCGATTTTAGATTCCGTAAGTAAGTCGGTGAATGCTTTCTTTTTGCTTGCGCATTCACGGATCTCTGCCTACCTATTCTTCCCCCACAAAATCCGTACTTGGCTATGTATGGGAAGATGCCTAACTTACCAGAGAAGTCAAGGATGGTCAAGGTGCCTATTCCACCCAAGGATCCGTGGTGTGGTCCGCAAGCAAAAATAAGATAAAAAAGAAGCATCAGCAGGGTCACAGTCTCCAAAAGTAGAGTGACAAGGGCTCAGCCTTTGATTACACGTATAGTTTAGTTCATAGTCCCCTTACCAATGAGACTTCTTCCTCTTTTATGGAGAAAAAGCGAAAGCGAAGGCAGCGATCATAACAACCGGTCCGAAGGAGAAAGACTGTCTTTTCCCGATCGTCGAATGCGAAGAGAGGTAGTACAAGTAAGCGAGAGGTTTAGATAAATACTCGACCATAAGGAGAGGGAGAGAAGCTAACCCCCGTTCCCAAGTCTTCTTCCACCTCACTCCTGGCTTTGGAAGGTCGTTTCTATATTCGTATATAGAGATAGACGTAAGGTTGGGGCTGGACCGGGCGGACCCCGGCTTCCGACGTACAACAAGATCAAGCCCAAACGTCGTTCCGTTTTTTCCTCCTCTTCCTGTTCTATTGATCAGAAGCACCCAGCAGCGCCACGCCGCTACTCCTCAAATAGGTGGCGGTTGCTTTGAATGAACTCTACAGTTGACTTTAAGAGTTCTTCTTTTTGGACACGCGCTGCTTCATCTCTATGGGCGTCGCGTGCTTTTATGATATTAAACCTCTTGTCGTCGAAGCCCGGCCTCCGCTTGTTTAAGGAGGTTGGCGTTCTCTTGCAGACGGCGTCGGTTATCCTGTCGCAATCGGTCTAAGTGTTCCTCCGAAAACAAATTAGAGTTAGGATCATCCCGCGTGTGACTTTCTACCTCCGCAGCGGTGACGCTCCCAGGGGACGAGACGGATTGTGGTGGAGATCCGTCCGAATCCGTTTCCGAGGAGGCATGGGGAGTCCGACTGAGATGCCGGAGACTCAGAGCCTGATGTCCCCTCGCCGAGAGGCATCATATGGTTTTGGTATGTGAGCAGCGCTCGTAAAGTAAAGTCTACAGTCAAGGCAAGCCCTGCTGAGCAGCCCAACCCTCTTAGAGCAAAGGATAGGGCTCGACCGCCCAGAGAGAACCCAACCTTTGAAAGTAAGGCATGAAAGAAATCCAATTCCTTGAATTGCTGACAAATAAGATAGAAAATACCTAAAAAGGTAGAAATAAAGAGAAACTAAGATAGAAGAAAAGGAGTCAAACTCAAGCTCGAACTTATAAAGATAGGCGGATTAAAAGTAGTTAAAGCCCCGCCTTGCTTTCGCGTATTTAGGGCCTAACTTTGTAAAGCGTTTTAATGTTGGAATTTGTGTTTCATATGAGGCAAAATAAACATGGGGGGCCGTTTTCTTAGGCAGTTGCTGATTGAGGAAAAACCGTCAGCTCTGTCTTTGCTATTTCGACGGTTTCCTACAACGAAAAGAGACTAGATCTTCAATATAAGTCTTTCTTGTGAAAGAATAGGGCAGCATTTGTTTGTGGCTCCCTCACACCACTGCTGGTGACCTTGCAAACTCTAAGGTCCTTTAGGCTGCTGGGTTAGTAAGAACAAGATAGTGGGCTTTCCCGTGTAATTTCGACACCTTGGACTTCGGCATCTTTACTTAGGGATACCCTTGGTAAATCATCTTTCTTTTCCCTGCGAGAACAAATCTTCTTCAGCTACTGAAGCTTGCAGGTGTGTAGCTGCACCGAGCTTTCTATTTTGAATTCGGGTTCCCACGGTATTGATGAGAGCCTTTTTTCCTCGGATCATGTTGTCTTACGTCCTTCCTGATGAGACCTTTTTCAAAGTCCCTTGTTTTAATTCGACGAAGAGCTTCTTTATCTTACGCAATTTCGAGATCAGGATATTGAAGAATACCTTCGACGTGTAGCTAAGTAGCTTCAGATTCCTTTTCCTTGGTTGCCGATCAAGGTAGAGTCTTCACAGGTGATCAAGTAAAAGAGTTTGCTAATATATCTAGTTTTTGTTGAAATGATTCACTCAACACCTTTGCTCAGGCTAATGGACAAGCCGAGTCTTCCAAAAAAATAAGGTGAACTAGCTTATAAAATATGATAAAGGATAACCCAAGCAAGGATCTGGCATGAAGTGTAGTCAGAGGCTCTCTAGGCATGTCGAACAAAAAGACCGAGTTTCCATTAGGAGGTGGGACAAGAAGCTTAACCATACTTGGCTTTGGAAAGACTTCTGCTCGACACGTTCAAGCTTTTCCGGGAGGATCTTTTTTAAATATTTTATTCCCAGGTTAAAGACTGGGGCGGGTTTAACTAAATATCCTGACCCCTGACCCATAGTCTTCATGGATCTGATCTTTCCTGCTATTCCTAAGGAAAGGATAGTATTCAAGGCGATCAGAGTCAGCATCGGCATAAGGGAATAAAAAGTGGCAAGAATCATTCCATTCTTCCTCGGCAAGAGCACCCGAATCCAAATTTTGTTTTTAGCCTTGTCAGTATCCCTTTGTGAGTCTTCTGCTGAAGACTTTCTCCTTAGTAGTCTCCCAATGGCCCTTGACCGGTGTGGCTAAGCCAATACATAATCACCATAAATTAGTGACGAGGGCTCTCTGCGGCTAAGAATAGAAGGTGGTGTACTAGTTCTCAGTAAGTATTGGAAGAATCCCATGAAATGTTCATCCAAAGAGGGATTTTAGTTAGTGAAAAAAGACCTTATTTTTCTTGTTACCTCCTGCCCGTAGCCATGCACTTAATAAATAAATATCATAGGAGTAGTAGCGCTAAGCGAAGCATCAAAGCAGAAGGAGCTTGACACCATTGAATCAAGTGTTGAAAGACTACGTATGAAAATAGAATCCCCAGATGATAGGGGCCCGGGAACTGAACAATGTTAGCGCAAGGGGCTTAAATTAAAAGGCAGGTAGCATTCGATAAGCAGGCAGGTTTGGGAAACTAGCACCAGGTACTAGGTCGATGGCATGCAGAATACTCCTCATCGGTGGTAAACCATGGGAAGAGCATCACCAACCAGCTCCTTCAAAGATTTTAATAGTATCTGAATGAAGAAGAATGTCGATAGAATAGTTAAATGCCGGCGAATAGCGTAGGAAGTAACCAAGTTTGAATGGTGGAAAGCCAGCAAGGGAAAAAGCATTAGTTTCAGCGAAGCTATTCTTTACCCCTTAAGCGTCAGAGAAAAGTACTTTCAGGCAAGGTCGGCTAGCGAACCCCGCTACTCCTTTGTCTTTTAGGAAGGGAAGTCTGAGTCAAAGTCATTGTGTATCCTCAGTTTGAAGGCGATTCACCTTCACCCAGCATCTTTTAAAGTTTTAGTCTGATTATTTCTCATCTGCCTGCGGCTCTGGCCGGCCCATCTTCCTCCATGTCCTCATCTGAGGTTCAAGCAATTGGTCATCATTCCTGGCCTGGCTGGCTGGCCGAGGTCGAGTTCCTCCCTTATTTATAATCTATACGGCTTTCTTCGTCTCTATTATTTGATTTATCAATAGCCAAAAACTTGACTTTCAGGTCTGCGAGAGGTCAATGTACTAGAGCTCATGCCCAAATAGGGGCTTTCTTTTCTCTTGCATGCGACTTCCCTTCCTCCCTCATTCATGAAAATCAAAGGAAGCTTCATCGGGAAGGGATAGGGATGGCGCATTGGCTTAGTTGGCGGCTTGGCTTCGCTATCGCTCATGACTTGGTATAGAGTCCGTGTAGTCGGTGAGTACGAGTACAGCCTATGAAACAGGCTTTGAGTTCCATTACATTGCCAAAATGAATTCTCGCCACTCTCCCTTCCAGTGAACCCCACGTGTCTGCCTCCGGCTTCGAAGCAGTGGGGAAGAAAAGGACTCGGCTTAACTTCACTTGGGTTCGGTTTACCTTGTTACTATTGGAATGATGGAAGTAGCTCTTCTTCCTCTTTGCGTTAGCGACTCTGAGCTCATAGGGAGCTGGGAATTAGCTTGGTGAGATGGAGAAGGGATAGAGTTGAAAGATCGGATTTTTTTAGCGCGCCTTATGCCTGTCCTTTCCTGACTCTGTCGATGGTATGCCTGAGATGGCAGTCTTTCTCCTTGGCTTGTACTCGAGATTCCCTTTTTGTTCGAAATCGATATCTTCGCCTTTGAGAAAGGGAACGAAGGAATTCCGTCTGTTGTCACAAGAATTGTTCAAGTTGAATGCGAATAATCGATTGAATCTGATCTTTGAAGACTTGAAGGACTAGTGTCCAATCCCGGCCGATGTAGAGTAGTCCCTTTTGGGCAGCACTTCCTCGTAGGGAACTACCTATTGTCCTTCTTTCTTGTGGTGGAACCTGGGATTAACCCTCCCAGAAGTTATTATCGCCAAAACAAAAAAAGACATCTTGAATTTCCCACAAGAGTAAAACTATAATAGTATCCGACTCATATGGCGGCGGGGGCTGCATTCCCCTCTCTTTCTGCTGGATGGGGAGTGCATCGGTCGGCTATGTCCCTGGACCTCCTGGCTTCCCTGTCACGTCCGAACGTAATCAGAGAAGACCTGCCCAAGCACCGCACCACCTTGTGATCATAAAGAAGAATATCCAATACAATCACAGGAAAGAGTACCCGAAAAAAACCGTAACGTATTAGGGTCGTACGCCTGGAACAGTCGTACAATTTCGGCGATTCAAAAAGGAGTATATCCCTCTCCCTTAGTGTCTTTCCACTTCCCTCGTTCAGGAACAAACCCTTCGCCTAATTCTTTTGAGTCCCGGCCTGGTTTTTCCCCACTAACCAATTACGTTACGACCACTGAAGAAACTTGGTTGACGAACATGGTTTATGCGCCGCTAATGTAGCGGCTTGTCGAGCATTTGACAAACTCACACCATCCATCTCAAATAGGACTTGTCCCGCGGACACACGAGCAATCCAACCCGTAGGATTTCCTTTTCCTCTTCCCATTATTACTTCTGTAGGTTTCCCGGTAATAGGGATATCTGCGAAAACTCTTACCTATATCTTACCATTTTTTCGGAATTGTCCGCTCATAGCACGATGGAAGTGCCCGATTATAGCCCGACGCGCTGCTTCAATGGCTCGATATGAAAGACGACCAGCTCTACAACTTTGAGTGCCATATCTTCTAAAACCTAGTTTTGTTCCGTCTGGTTTGCAACCCCTACTACATCTGCCTTTACGATATTTACTAAATTTCGTACGTTTCGGATATAGCACGTCCCTTTTTTTTTTTACTATATGAAATCCACACTTTGACACCTGAGATTCCGTAACGAGTAGATACTTCCGCAGAAGCATAATCTATTTTCTGGTTAAATACATTACGAGATGTTTTTCCATACTTTCCGCATTCAGTTCTAGCTATTTTTGCGCCTTCTGATCGACCTGAACAACATATACGGATCCCCTCAACCCCTTTTTTCATTACTAATGGAATATCCTTAACTATTCTACTAAAAATGGAACGAAATGATCTTGTTTTCTTTCTCAGTTGAAAAGAGATGTCTTGAGCAATCGGAGAAGCACTTTGATAAACAGATTTGATCTTGACCGACTCAATTAAGGTATTAGTGTTTGTTCTATTAGACAACAAAGAATGCATTTTTTTCACTTCGTTCAAATAAGAGTTGTACCCGTACGGAATTTTTCTGTTTCTCAGTATGATCTCTACCATCATCTCTATTCCCTTTATCCACTCTCCTATCCTACCTAGGTCTATGAATTTATCTATCAATTCCATTACCTTATCCTTACCCATGAGGTTCCAACATTTGATCCTTAATTAACCTAGGAGTGGTTCCCGGGCATCCTCAAAAAAAAGGTTATTATAAATCCCAACTCTATCCCTTGGAAAGAAAAAGGTAGCACCGAAGAAAGGAAAGAGCGAGATGGTGGTTTTTGTTGTTCCCGCGAAGCGAAGATCATTCGCCAAGCGAATTAAGTGGGTCAACCTCTTTTTGGCTTCGGCCAAACACTTTTTCTCGCTGGTCGAGCTTTCTACAAAAAAAGCGATGCGAGAACGTATTCTCTTATCTAAGCTTCTTCCCTGCGCATTCGCTCCCCCCATCGTAGATGGTTCAGCCACGCCCGGTGCCACGAAATGATTGAGAACTACGACGGGGTCGAAATGCATTTGGTTCTTTCTACAAAAAAAGTATTGCATGACCGAATAATTCAAGGAGGGGCGCACTGCAGGGAGGGTCCTTTGAAATAGATGACTCGTCGGGCCGTCGGAGCGGGACTTCTTGGGGAAAAAGAACTTAAAAAACTTCGTTTTTCTGAAGGAGTCGTAATTTTCTATCAGGAACGCTATGTCATTTACAGCCCCGGCATATTTCGGATGCTTGAAGGCCCCGCTGACCCGAAGTGATTTAGAAAGATTCTTCTTTATCGATGGTGATCGGTCATGGTATCCATAGCGTTGCTTCTTTTTCGGCCAAATCCTAATTTCGTTTTGCTTCTCCCGGTCGTCGAGCCTGATCGACTCGACTCTTTTCCCTGCCCTCCGGCCTCTCACTTCGTTTCGTTCTTCTTCTTTCTTGTTGCTGGAATGAAGACACCCGATCGGCCCGACTTTCCCAAATGCCCACCACCGGCCCTTCTCCTTTCCGGGTCTGGATTTATCGCGTCGTTTCAGTCGTCGTGGTCGACGGGGAAGAAAGAAATGAATGAATGTTCTTTTGGGAAAATGTATAAGAATACACCTACCGAGACGAAAGCCAAAGGTTAGTCTCGCAGGTGGACGTATCGAACCGAAATAAGATCTCAGATTGACATCTTGATAAACTAATTTACCATAATAATAAATAGAGTCAATGGTGACTCCGTCGTGGGAATAGCCGCTTCTTTCTTGCTTGATAGAGGGGCTTCCATTCACCAACGCTGACAAAAAGTGCTCTCCGAACCGTGCTGGATAGTCACCCATCACACGGCTCTCAAACCCAACCTGTGGTGAATCCCGGGAGACAAAGTCAAAGCGCTTGATCCTTTACCCCATACTTTGAGATGCTTCTCCCCGCCGATCAAGCAGCGACGCTGCTCGTGATAGGCTTAGCTTTAAGCCTCTATCATTCGGTTCGAATAAGTAAAGTCCCCTCGGTCGGTTCGCTCAGGTGGTCTTCCCTTATCTTCTCTTCTCTAACGTTCAGAGTTGTTCTGGTTTAAAAAAGGAGCACCGGCCGAGCGCCCTGAATGAATAATAAATGGACAGCAAAGGGAATCAATGATTCTTATTCAACCGAGTTGAAGTTAGCAACATGTCGATTACACACCGGAGGTTGGTAAGAACTGAGGGACAATGCCCCCCTAACCTAAGTGGGCCTACCAGCGAAACAACTGCTACTGGATCGGGGGTGGGGGGGTTGGTTTCGTGCAAGGCCTTCGCAGCAGGAAGAGGCAGTTGTCATTTGAAGGGAAAGGCCCTTTGTATAGGGTTCCCTGTGCACCCTGATTCAACATTTCTATGTTCTTAGTCAAGCCTAAACTTATTGAAAACTAAAGCGCTAACGCTATAATAATTATAAAAATAGCAACCTTTCGCCTTATAAACTAAAACAAAACAAGTTTACTTACTTACTATAAAAAAAGAAGAAAGCGGCAACAAGCACCTTCTTTCTCAAAGTAAACTTTCTCGCTTCTTGCTTTAGAAAGATTGCAGCGTTAGCGCTTCTTGACTAAGAACATCATAGAAAGTCAAGGCTCCTCTCCTTTTCTAGGAATCTACAACTCTCTTTACTGAGCGAGACTCCATCCATATCCCTACTAGTGGTTATATTAAATATTTTTTATTTTATCATTTGTTTGATAGCCTAAACTAGGCTCCATTTTAGATAGGTTTTCGGTCTTAATAAAAAAAATAGGTCAGGGGTGCGTCGGAACGGTCGGTGGCTGCTTAGTCTCATCTGAGAGTCTAATCTCTTTGTACTTTTTTATTCTTTCTTTTAAAAATAAATAATAAAAATAAGGGCGTCGATTTAGGCTCCTTCCCTTCCACTGCATAGCTGCGCTAGCAGGTACTATGAGCCCTCTGTCCCACGCATCTAACCAGCTCGCGTGGTTCACCGGTTCCACCGAAAACTCTCATTTGTTGAAGCGGAGCATAGTGCGCTTTAGGCGCCGAGCGAGAAAGGTATCTTTCTTCTTTCGTTTCGGTTTATTCACTGATCTGAAACTTAGCACTAGTTTTCTTATTGATTCCAGGGGCGGCGGCGTTCTTGAATGAAGTCTATCCGAACCGAATTAGCACTTCTCAGATCAGGCTAGGCCTCTCCAGCTCCGCAGGGCGTCGGGGCCCTGGATGCGCTAGCGATCGGCACATAGGGGGTGCCGGGTTTCTCGGCCTGGTATCCTGCACCTCGCGTTCATGATATCTACATTCAACTGTGCCCCGGAGACACGGTCGAAGCACGCCCGCCCGGTGTGCTTCTTTCACGACATGCTCTGGTCCCGGGTCTCTTCCAGTGGTCTTCTAGCGTTAGAAGAAGTCGTGTCCGTCCCGGACATCTGCTACGTCCTTCCATCCCAAGCTTTTTTATTCAACATATATAGGACAAACTGAAGGAAAAGACTGACCCATTCGGTGACTTTCGCGGTCGCCCTCACTGAACCGACTTGAATCTGAACTACGATTCAAATCGAGTCTTACCGAAATCGGATTTCCTTTTCGTGCCATATGCGCCTTATTGTTACTTTCTTTACTTTTTCCCCTTTTTTCTTCCCAGTTTAATATTTGTTCTCGAAAGTCTTCGTTTCGCAAACTCTCAAAATTGTTGACCAAGCAAGGTCGCACTGAGACTGTGAGAACACTAACGGAACACTCTCTGACCCCCACTGACTAGCTAGTCTGAACTGATGACCGGCCCGCAAGCTACTCGATTTTTTTTTCTTAGCTGCTCTGGATTCGATTCTAGATGCTACTTACTTACATATGATGTTTTCTTTCACAAGGTAGCGCATCTATATAGCATAGCTGAAAGCGGACAAAAAAAGTTGTTCCCATAGCGTGACGTAGGCTTAGCCTCTTTCTCTATCTACATTTATATATGATAATCTCACTAGTGGACAGCGAACAAAAAGATGCCACACTAAGAAAGCAATCCAATCAGGAACAAGGTAGTTAGGGACATGCGGACTAACTGCTCTGACATTCCTATTTTTTGAAATGAATCTTCGGACCTTCTGCCAGCGCTAACACCATCCGAGCTTGCACTGCCGCTCGAAGAGAGATGCCTGTGAGACCCCCTCCAGTTCTGTAATTCGAAGGAGGTTCTGAGAATGAAATTCAAACCCCTCGTCACTTACTAGTGAGCCGGAAAGCTTAGGGACGCCTCTCGTTCCTCTTCTCCCATTTGACAACCGTATCTCAGAATGTTCAGATGATTCTCTGGAACTAATATATGCTTTCTTTTTTTTTAAGAATGGGGATATATCGTTGGGAAAAAGCAGAAGAAAAGGATTTAACGGGCAGAAGAAGGGAAGTTCGGAAAAGCCTAGCAGACGGGACTATCAACTCCTTTCTATTACGATCTCGGCACCTTCCTTACCCCCCTACAAAAAATTTACCCCTATTTTGAAGAGGAAAGCTCCCAGGTTCCGCATCTTAAAAAAGTGCATGACCAGATTGGAAGAATTCGCAATGGGCCAACTCACCCAGCCATGATGCGCATGACAGAAGAGAGCGAGCACAAAATGGAGTTTCCATCTTGGATGAGGCTCACGTCCAGAAATAATCTTTTTCAAGACTTTCTCCCCTATGTTGAACTTTCTCTATATTACCTGATTTTGGAATGCACTGGAATTTTCTGGTAGACTTGGACATGTTCCATGGCGCGAAGTCTCTTCTCATCTAATAGCTCTAATTGCGGGGATATCTAAAAAAGATGCTCCCCCTCTCATCCACATCAAAATCTTTGTCAAGCTGGGCCCTGATGAGGGATGGGAATGGCTGAATACGTCTGCCCGTACGCAAGTAAGCAACTGGCCAACAATTGTATCGAGCTACAGGCCCTTCTCATAAGATGTTGTAAGCTACGGGCCAAAAAATGTCCGACGAAGCTTAAAGCAGACATAAAGAGCTAACTCAGAAGGGGGCCAACAAGCCCCTTTAAAGCAAATGCCTGTGAGAAGCCTTAGAAGTTACAGGACATAGAAGCAGGCCTAAGCAGCACCTAAGAAGCTGGTCAAGAAGTGGATTTAATCTTTTCCAGTCTAGAGACTGGCGGATTACCCTCGAAAGAAAGGATTCAAATCTTCCTTCTGCTTTGAACAAGATAAGTGGACAGATGAGTTGAATAATACATGGACAGATAAGTTAGGCGAGGTTCCCCTTTGATATCTCCCAACCTAAAGGTTTATTCAGAGGTGGGACTTTCAACCGCCTACTCTTTCGATGAAGGGTGCACTACAAGACCATCGGTACTAAAAAGATAAAATGGGGGGGTTTCGTTGATATTGAGTCGACTATAAACTACTCATCTTGCTTGGAACCGTCGTTGTGTATGGGAAAGAGGGGTTCTACCTATGCTTGGAAAAGGGTGAATGGTCCCAAAAGGGACGGGATAAAACCCACTAGAAAGAACGGGGGGTCATCCACTCCGTCACTGGGTAGTCAACTTTATCCGTGACTCTGAGTACAAGATTTCCGGGATCAAGAAACTAGCAAACAAATATGCTCGGCTGGACTCTTTTCTCGTATGCCCGGAAAATCAAATTGCGGTACAACTCAGCTTGCTGCAAAGCCTTTCTTTCTCATCCAAACACTCCAGATCTGCACTTCCCTTTTCTCCATAGGGCCGAAGCTTTACTAAGAAGGGCTTTTTTTAGAGAGAGCGTAAGGGGCGATCTATATTGCTTGCCACAGCTCTATTCCCGACTCTAAATCTCTAAAGGACTTTAAGAGAGGATGAACATTCCCGTTCTATAGGTGGCACTGCCCCTATTAGAGAAGGGTGAGGGCCTACTGATTCTCTGCTAGCACTGTTAATTACCTTAGACCTACGCAGCAGGAACGATATGGAGCACCTACTCTACCGGTTGTCTGCTCTCTCGAGGTCGTCCTTCTCTAGGTACAAAAAGGACATTACGGGATATCTAAAAAATTCGATGTACTTCTTAAAGTGTGGGACACATCTCATGTTTGCCGAATCGAAAAACTATCGCCTTTGCATCCTCACAGCGGCTATGATCAGATCCCAGTGTTGGTTCACTTTGGACTTTATCCTCCACAAAATCTTATGATCTCCTGTTCTAAATTATGTTAAACAGCTCCTGATCGCAGCAATCATGCCTTCGAAGGTACGCTTTTTTTAGGGGGGCCTTGCCTCTTGAATGAGCTTGTTCAACAATGTGCGCTCCTTCTTCCTATTAAGTCTAAGGAAGGGCGAGTACCCCTTGAAGGACCTTTTGTAAAGGACATCTCCCAAGATCACAAATCGTCGGGCAAGTTCTCCTCCAGGCTCTCCTCTGACCACGAGTGGCGTACTCTGATATGAACCCGTCCTTGAGGTAATTGTAGAAATCATAATACCAAGGTTCCCATCGTCCTCGTAATCTTGACTGGTGATAGTTCATCATGTTCCAACTCTCGATAGTCTTCATCCAAGAAGATGAATGAGTCTCGTTCGACGGAAGGGCTCTCTGTGCTGTGGCTGGGATGTCCAATCTCTCGATGACAAGCGACTCTATGCTTTGGTGTACTAGCATGTGTACTAGAGCGGCTGAGTATTTATTCCATAAGGGCTAGCGAGTCAGCCAAGCGATTGTAGACTCGCACCGCTCACTTAAGGTTTTATACAGAGGGGGGTTGTATTGAAGGGCCATAAGCTTTGAATCAATATGCGTTGGTTCCAATCCGGATCTCGTAGTTTGGGTCTCGAGATGATATTCAGGAGACAAAAGAGCAGAGCTGATAGAAATGCTTATTATAATGGAGATACTAATTCTTTAATAAAGACTTGTGCCCATTGTCCAAGATTCCTTTGTGGGACTGTCTTTTTCTTCTTCTTGACTTGACTCAAAAACCTTCCCATTCAGGACAGAACTCTGAGGGTATCTCTGAAGATTAAAAATACAGAAGAGCGACTGCCAATCAAGACAATATTGAAGCACGCGCCTTAGGACCGATCCCAGTTAAATATGAAAACGAATCTGCGCGCTCCAGTAAGATAAGGGTTTCCTTCATCGATCGGAATAAAACTAGCAAAAGAAAGAGGGAGCTGCGCTATACATAATACTAAGGGACCCAGGTTCTGCCCGAATGATACGATCAGCAACTTCTAGTACCCAAGCTATGTGATCAATAACTATTCTCCTAGAGGCGAATCCCTCTGGGCGCCCTAAGCAACCGAAGGGTAGAGAAGATGAAGAATAAGGGTAATCTAAGCATGCGCCACCAAAAGGAAAGAGAGGACTGATTGATACCAATAGCAAGATACACATATTTTTTTTTAGACTCCGAGGGGTGAGAATAGTTGAAGATCAGAAGATTGGCCTTAATAGATTAAGTGCAAAATTTTTTTTTATATTATATATTATATATATGAGTAAGCCCCTTCCCTTAGGAACAGAAGGATTCGATTACATCGGCTGGCTATACGCTTTACACATCGTCTTATGTGCTACCTTCGGTCAGGGTTTCCCTTCTCTTCTGCGGCATCAGAATCAGAGGACAGATTTATCGTAACATCCGAATCAGGGGCGACTATTGGCTTTATTCAGACTGTTAGCCCTGAACTTATTCAATTAAGTGTTTGATAATTCATTCATTCATTTAACAAATATTTAGGGAAAGACAGAAAGACAGAACACCCATACATCCTTCTGTTTTTCTGGTTATCCTCACTTACTGACTCGCTAGGGGAAGGAAGAGAGGATTTTGTTGCTTATCTTCCAAGACCGGACCCCGTTCGCTAACTCCATTGAGGGTTAACTCACTCTAGCCACTCCGCTACGCTTAGACCTTAGCTGCCCTGCTTACCTTAGCTGCCCCTTCCTCTGATTCCTCCTACTCGGATTCTAAGCTCGATCGCGGTTAGCAGCCCTGATTACCTTAGCTCCAGTGAGTTACCTCACCCGAGGCCCCTCACTTCCAACCACCTGAGGAACTAATATTATAAGCTCGCTCCACTTTTCGGAGACCCGCTCACCCTATCGCTACTGTTTCGGAATAGCTTCCCCATCACCCAGCTAATAGAATCACAGAACTGGAATCCACAGATCCGCTACCCGCCTATCCGCTATCCGCCTAACGTAGACCTGCTCACCCTACGTGGTTAACTCACTTGTTTACCAGATATCATGAGCTCGCCCCGGAGCTCACTCCTTAGCTTCCCCGCTGGCACCCACCCAGCGGGATATTCCCTGCCGGGGGCTAATTCCACGCCTTCCCAGTAGAGCAACTCGAGCTTGTTTTGACATGACTTTTATCGTAAGTGATTTAGGAAAACTTGAGCACGATACCGCGCACGTGGGAGCTTTCAAGAGCTCTGGAGTGGGAGTTGGGGCGGGATCCCTTATGCAGATTGGAAACAGTAGCCCCTAGGGAAGACAGCTATTCCCTGAGGTAGCCCCCTTTTCTCCGTATCCGTGATAACTTCAAGTAATGGAGGGCCTAAATTGGAAGCTGCCGTCGCGGCGTAACTACTGACGTCGCGTACCTTCCGCTGAAATGGGAGTGGTGACCCCATTTTCAGCATGCTATACGATCGACGCCGGCTCCATACCCTGGTTGGAACGAGTTTGGGAATGAGGTTTTCAAAAAAACCCTTTCCCAAACCCTATCCCAGGGGTGGTGAGGTAGAGAGAGGAAGCCCCTACCCCCTCGGGTGTATTCTCAATCCTATTCACACCTTCAGCTTAACTGTCATATGAAATATGCCAGTTAAGCCCCCTGTAGCTCTTTGTAATGGTTAGACCTCTCATAGAGGTTTAACCCCTGTTATATGCCTTGAAAAGGCCCTCTGAGAGGGTATATGGCTCTAAACGCCAAGCTCTAAGCTCGAAAGCTCAAAGCTCGAACGCCTTGCACAGAGCTCAGAACTCCTTGCGAAGAGCTCCTGGCTCGTAGCAAGAAACAAAGAGCTCAGAACTCAGATCGGTCAGTCACTAGAAGTTCCTTCCCTTGTTTACTTTACCTGATCCCTCCAGTGTGTGACCTCACTTCCTCTTGGAAGGGAGGAGCTAATAACTCCTTGCGAAGAGCTCCCGGCTCGGAGCAATAACTCGGAACTCCTTGCGCAGAGCTCCCGGCTCGGAGCAAGAAACAAGGAGCTCATATCAGATTCCGAAGGAAATAGTAGCTTCGCCTGGTTATCCTCACTTACTGACTCGCTAGGGGAAGGAAGAGAGGATTTCGTTGCTTATCTTCCAAGACCGGACCCCGTTCGTTAACTCCATTGAGGGTTAACTCACTCTAGCCACTCCGCTACGCTTAGACCTTAGCTGCCCTGCTTACCTTAGCTGCCCCTTCCTCTGATTCCTCCTACTCGGATTCTAAGCTCGATCGCGGTTAGCAGCCCTGATTACCTTAGCTCCAGTGAGTTACCTCACCCGAGGCCCCTCACTTCCAACCACCTGAGGAACTAATATTATAAGCTCGCTCAACAACTGAAATAATCAATAACTAAAAGCAACGAGCAATCATCCCCCCGAGTGTTACATATTAGAGCAATGACACTGTCTCAAACTACTAAAGTTATACCGCCTTCACTCTGAATTACCTGCACGTTACCAACGTAAGGGTAACATTTAAACAAAAGGGGTGAGATATCTAACAATATAATAAAACGTATGATAAATAATATATTAAATTAGATCACATAACATCACCACTTCTCATCATATAAACAATAATAATCACAAAAAAATACTAACAATATAAACATCTACCGCATCAATAAACAACTTCTTTATGCAATCATATAATGCGACTCAATATTATGTAAATGCATGTGGTACCATTGGAGCATAACTCCCATCTTAAAATAATTGCCAAAAATAGAGGCATCAACAAGGCATAAGCCTTCATCTTAATATTCTCCAATACAGACCATCTTAACGAGCATCAGCTCCATCTTGAAATGCAATGTATGCGACACAATCATGAATGTAATAAAAACAACCATAATTAACAACATCTCAACAAAACATCATCGTTGGCCAGAAGCCTACATCTTAATAGAGGCCAATTATTAGAGGAATCTCAACATCATTCATCAATCATCATTCATCGCATAATTCATCAACATAATTCATCGCATAATTCATTAATATAATTCATCAACATAATTCTACAGCAACTCAGCCACAACAACAGAACAACGACAGGTCGACAATCCCTCAATGTTGGCCATCGGCCTACAACATGATAATGCCTATAATTAATTAATCATCTAAGGCTCATCTCTATTTACAAAACCTCTATATATTATTATTCTGTAATACTACATCATTATCATCATTAATCTTACTATTATGGACCAAACAATAATCCATAATCGTCTTATCCTCATCATACTTCACAAAATCATCATAACGATTAACGCGAGAAGCTAACTCTAGTACTAAATTTGGTTACTAGGATTATTATTCTTATCCTTCATTTTAATTCTTAAGAATGAAGTTCACTGTGTTAGCTATCCAACGCTTCGAACGACACCTCAAACGGAGTCCGGAAACTCAAGTTACAGCCTTTGGAAATGAATCTGCCAAAAATCAGACTACATAAGTCGACGCATAATGTCTTGAGTCGACACGTACTGGGCTTAACACGTTGCATGAGTCGACGCGTAATCCTCTTGGGTTGACTCATATTGAGTCTGCAACACTGCATGTATCGATACATATTCCTATGTATTGACTCATCCTGAGTCTAAAAGCCTGCATGTATCGACGCATGGCTTCTTCGTATCGACTCATCCTGAGTCCAAAATCCCGCATGTATCGACGCATGGCCTTTGGGGTCGACACATACTGTTCTGTCATGAATATTTTCTGCGATTTCACTATGTTTTCACCATGGTTTCCTTGCCTTAGGCCCTAAAAACATCCTCTAATCATAGGTAATCATCAATTATAATTATCCTATACTTCTACATCAATTGTACAGCATTATGGCATCATTACTCATCTTTAAATCATTGATCTTCATCATACAACAACATATACATTCAAATCATGAACAAGACAACATTTTCACATCTAATCCAATATACTACTCATCATAAACCCGATTATAGAGTCAGAACCCCACACTTACCTTGGATTGAAGGTTGCTCTACAACTTTTCCGATTGATTTATGTTCTGCCTCTTTTCCTTATTTTCTTCAACTTTCACGTTCTCTTCCAACCCTTATTTATTTCTCTCTTACTGCTTCTTCTTTTCCTTATTATTTCTAAAAACTAATATAATAACCCTATAATTCTTATTATGCCTTAATGGGCTTAAGACTCCTACACCCCCCTTTCTACTACTTCTATTCTTTCAAACAAGCCCACATCAAATAATATTATTATTCTAATATTATTCCACAACTTAATAGAATAATTAAATCCAATAACAATAACACATCAACTATTATCATAACAAAACTTCACAAATATTCCAAAAATAATTTAATTAAATAATTAATTAAATTACGGGCGTTGCACAGTATATTGCCTCTTAGCCGCAATGTATTCACGAAACTCCGTATATTGCTTCCGAGCTGCAATATATCATATAGCTCAAATACATTGCCTCTAAGCCGCAATGTATTCGCGAAACTCAGTATATTGCTTCTAAGCCGCAATATATCATCCAACTCAAACACATTGCCTCTAAGCCTCAATATATCATCCAACTCAAACACATTGCCTCTAAGCCTTAATGTATTCGCGAAACTCAGTATATTGCTTCTAAGCAACAATACATCATCCAACTCTAATACATTCCCTCTAAGCCGCAATGTATTCGCAAAACTCGGTGTATTGCCTCTAAGTCGCAATATATCGACTGACTCAAACCCATTGCCTCTAAGCCGCAATGTATTTACAAAACTCGACACATTACCTCTAAGCCACAATGTTAGTTTCCAGATCTGTATATTACCTCTAAGCAACAATATATCGTCCGACTCAAACACATTTCCCTAAGCCGCAATGTATCCTCAAACTCAACACATTGCCTCTAAGCCGCAATAAATTCTCAACACTCCATACATTGCCTCTAAGCCGCAACACATTGTAAAAACTTAGTATATTGCTTCTAAGCCGCAATATATCCTCCAAATTCCGCGCGTTGCCTCTAAGCCGCAACATATTCTCAAAGAACCATTACATTGCCTCTAAGCCGCAATGAATTTCCAAAACTCGACACATTGCCTCTAAGCCACAATGTATTATCAAATCCAACACAGTACCTCTAAGCCGCAATGCATTCTCCAAACTCAACACATTGCCTTTAAGCCGTTATGTTTTCACAAAACCTAGCTTGTCACATCAGAATTCATGCAGTGATTTGCGAACCTAATCCATTGCCTCAGACTTCATGCAGCAATGTGTTTCGTTATGCCAAGTTCCAGATCATTGTCTCATACTTCATGCAGCGATGTTTGAAACCAAATGTAGCTTATCAAATTAGACTTCACGCAGTGATTCGCGAACCTAACCCATTGCCTCTAAGACACGATGCATTACCCAAACTCATACCATCGTCTCAGACTTCAGGAAGCGATGTTCGAAACCAATTTTAGCTTATCACATCAGACTTCACGCAATGATTCGCGAACCTAACCCATTGCCCCAAACTTCATGCTGAAATTCTGGCTACAGATACTCAATGTCACGTTCAATGTTATAACACCGTATCTGACTTACTATATGACAGTAAATACAAAAGCAATAAAGAACACAGTCAATTGTTTACCCAGTTCAGTGTGCAACAACACCTACTCTGGGGGCTACCAAGCCAGGGAGGAAATCCACTATAAGAGATGTTAATTCAGGAATAAACCAACCAGTTTATCTCCTTCACTTAAGACCTACCCAATGCAATTCCAATCTAAGTACAACTTAAACCTGAGTTCCTACTCACTCCCCCTCAATCACAGCAGTGATACATAAACCAATTTGACTTAAGAATTGATGAAGAAACTCTTCAAAACAAACACTTGATTAAGCTTCACAGCTTTTTAATCAAGCAACACAATCACTCGTGCTTCACAGCTTTGAGTGATGCACACAACTAACTTGACTCTGCTTCACAGCTTTAGTCAAGGAACATTCAAACACTCTTGCTTCAAAGCTTTGAGTGCTACACAGCCCTTACAATTAGAAACCTATTCCAAGGCACTTATCACAATGATAATTGCTTGGAGTACAATAATCAAATCTATACAGATTACAAATGATCTTCTGATCAATAAAAGGGATGCCTTGAAAAACAGCAGCTCTGTTGAATATATAGCAGCTGCAACTTCAGTTAGGGTTTCCACAAAAACCTAGGGTTAATTCCGTTTGACCTAAAGACCAGGTCACAGGGCTTTATTAACCAGGTTAGGGTTGAGCTAGGTTACGCCTCAGAAAACGCAGGATTCTGTTCAGGAAAGACTGAGTTATTTTCCTGAAAAAACTCAGACTTATCCAACCTGCAAACCTGTTAGTTCAGAACAGGATGTCATAACATCTGTTATGACATCTGAGAAAACCTGTCTACTGATTTAGCAAAATGTGATCATTTTGCAAAAATGCTCAGATACACACTTATAAACATAAGTACTTGAATTACAATATTTTTCTGCAAAGGTACCTAATGAGTCAGTACAAACTGAACTAGAATGTTATGACATCAGTCATGACATTCACACATACACTTGGGATTTACCAAAAATGCAAGCCAATACCTAAACACCTACAAACTCCCCCTTTGGCAGATTTTTGGCTAAAGACCCTAAGCAATCAGAGATAGATAGCAGCAGAAATAAGTGACAGCAGAAAACTAGAATTTCAAGTACTAATTAAGTAAGTACCAAAATATTCTCCCCCTCTTTAGCCACAAATGGGCCAAAGATACATGTTCATAAAATTATACAGTTATCCAAAACAAAAATAATAAGAGCAATAGCAGAAAACAACTGAATACACTTCCAAACTCCACCAGATATCAGCACCAACCAAACAGCAACCAACCTTCAAGCACTGTCATCAGACTCAGAGGAGCTAGTTCTGAGATGACCTTCAGCTTCTACACCTTCTTCCCTTCTGTTTTCTTCAGCTTCCTCCTTTTCTAGCCTGGAAATTAGAATTTCTAGGGTCCTTTTTCTAGCATCTAGCTCTTTGCAAGTTTCTTTTAAAACAGCTATGACATCTGATGTCTTGGACTGGGTCTTCACAGATGATGTCTCAGCTGATGT